CAGCTTCACAAAGAGTTTTACTGCCACAACAAGAAAAGATGGCAAAGTATGGTGCAGGGGCAAGAAAGAAGCTGGCTTCACTGCTAAAGGCAAATCTTGTGAAACTACCCCCTAAGTATCTGTTGTGGAGAGAGCAGCTTGCTGAGTAACACTTGCCAAATGTTTGCCAAACACCTGCTCCAAAACTTCTGAACTCGGATCCTGTAAATGTTCCAAAACGGGTTTACTGAGGTGACGCAGTCACCAAATAATGTGAAGTTGTAAGACCAACCACAAGACTCAAAACCAAACAACAAAAAAAAAAAATCATCCTGCATTTTCAGGCTTTTTTTTCTGCAGACTGAAGGTTCAGAGATGCATTAAAAAAATAATTTTTTAAGAAATCTTTTATCCAAAATGCATTTGTGACAGCTGGCAAGTGAGCCAAGAAAACTTCTAGCTGGTGCTTTGTGAAGAAGAGGCTGCAGAACAAGTTTCTCTAAAAAAAAAAAAAAAAAAATTAAAAAAAATTTGTAACCAGTTTGTCAGGTTAGAGGAATTCACTGGCTCTTCCTCCTCTCCCCACATCCCATTTGTTTCCAACTACTAATCTAACAAGCTTGTTTCTTGCTGAATTTGTTGTTATGTTGTCCTGGGTTCAGCAGTAGCAGTCATTTTTCTCCTCCTTGGTAGCTGGTGCAGTGCAGTGTTTTGACTTTCAGCTTGGGAACAGAGCTGATAGTGATGTTTAGGTTTGGCCAAGGACTTTGTGAGCCTCATGCTCTGCCAGGGAGGAGGGGAAGCCAGGAGGAAGTAGAGACAGGACACCTGACCCAAACTGACCAAAGGGTATTCCATACCACAGCACGTCATGCCCAGGATGCAACTGGGAGTTAGCCGGAAGGGCTGGGAGACTGCAGGGTTGGAGGAGGTATCGGTCGGAGCTTGGTCGGGCTGGGGGGGGGCGAGTTATCGGTCGGCTGGTGGTGAGATGATGTATTCTCTTCCCTTGTTATTTCCTTTATCATTGTTATCATTGGTGGTAGCAGTAGTGATCTGTGTTATACCTTAGTTACTAAACTGTTCTTATCTCAACCCGTGGGAGTTGCATTCTTTTCGATTCTCCTCTCTGTCCCTCCGGGAGCAGGGGGAGGGCAAGAAAGGGGGGGAAGTGAGCGAACGAAATTACCTGACTGGGTTTAAACCACGACATATGTGAAAAAATAAATTGTGCCTGCAGCTCATGTGGATGATCAATAGGCATCCAAACATGCTCCAGAGAACTGGTAACTTGCAACCACCTGATGAAGTGGCAGCCCCTCAAGATTTTCAATTTGTGCATAGTTTTTTATAAGACTGGGGAAAAAAAGGCCCAGCTTTGTCTTTCCGTGTTTAAGAATATGAATTGAATCCATCACTGATGTACTTGACTCAATGCAACAAACTTTTAGAAAGACTCAGATAGTCTTCCAAACCAATTTTTAATACTTAAATGTCAATCCATAGATGAAATGTGGATGCTTTCAACAGGTCCAAAAGCAGACCCAGTTCTCATGAGAACCTCTCCCTTTTTGTGTATACCGTTCAAAGTATGATAGTAATTACAGCTAAATACTGCAAACAGCTCTTTAAAATTATTAGCTCTTCTTAAGACATACCCTTTGTCAGGGAGACATGCAAATATTGCCTTGCAAAAGTAAAGTAACATGTCTTAAGGCAAATCATGCTGATTCAGCCAGGTTTTTTTGTATGGGAAGGATTAAGATATCCACAACACTTTCAAATTAGTATTCAATCTTCAACTTAAAACCCCGATGGCTAGACTCAGAGAAGCATATTAAGATGTCAGCTTTCTTATGATCCAGTAATGGGGCTGAGAGAAAGGCAAACTTCATTTTGGTTTGGCTCTTGAAAAGCAACCTTCCACTCCTGCAAGGTTTCAAAGAGCAACCCGAAAATAATTCTCTCCCTTAAAAGCTTGAAAGTGGAAAACCATAAAATTCCAGCAGTTATTTAGAAAAATATGCTAGATAAGGCAGTTTTGTGATTTGAGGATGTGAACAATAAAACCTAGCAAGAACGTCCCAGCAGTGCAGAAAGAAACTGTTCCCTTTAGCAAGCAGTGTAGGTAATGGATATTTAGAGGCTTGCATCACAGGTTCAAGACAGTTCCGGATACACACTTCAATAAGAGAACACCTACTTTTCCTGAGAAAAAAAAAACAAACCTCGTATTTTTCTACTCAGTAGCATTCTGAAACTACAACGACATACCTCAGTCAGCAGCTGTAAGTTACTGGTCCAACAACAGGTAAGTTATTAATGTCATTACGAATTAAATACATCAAGCAGAATGTTCCAAAGGGCACACATTTTATGACTTCAGGTAACTATTCGGACATTACCAGGATCTTTCTCTCCTCCCCATCTCAACCATAGCTATTGGAACATTGCACATCATCTATCAGAAAACACATCTTGACCCCATAAATGCACTAGCATCTGTGGAATCAAATGCTTGTTACCCTGCACAAGCATAACAACTTGCAGCAAAATGCGTGGAGCATACGCTGCGGCAAACACCTTGGTTATTCAGGAGCACTGTGCTTCAGGACCTCACTTTGTAAAATTACTCAGCAAAAATACACCAGCGGGGAACCCTATTTTAGACTATTTCTTAAGACAAACTCAGGTAGTATGTTGTGTAATACGTAACACTGTAAGGATATGAAGTCAAATTGAAATGATACATCGTTTGTTTAAGTGCCTTGTGACAAGCAGAGTAAATACTTCACCATAAACTTTTGATAGACCCTACCATTGCTGGAAAGGGACCTAAACAGTAAGAGAAGGAGGATTTCTGTGGAAAAAAACTTTTCTGTGGAAAAACTCAAGACCCACAGCAAGTGATCTACTGTTTACCGATTACAAATCTCAGAATCAGAATTACAGAACAGCTGAGGTTGGGAGAAACCTCTGAAGCAGAGATAAAAATTGCAATGGATTTGTGCTTAGAGATTCTTACTTCCTTCTGCATGTACAGACTAAGTACCCAAGGCAAAAGGCAGAAGCAGGCACTGAAACTTTCATTTAGATGGTTGAGATGTGTGCTAAAGTGTGCAATTTTCAGCTGCATCATCAAATTTTCTACCACCATCCAACCAGGGTGTGGAAGGCTAATTTCACATACTCTATGACACCATTTCCAATCAAGGTACAAGTTTATTTTCTTTTCCTCCTTCTTTCCAAATAACCACTTCTTCACCCAGGTGTGCTTTTGCTAATCAAAACATTTAACTGAGGAAAAAAAAATGTGTTGACAAATACCCAAATCACTCTTAAAATACAATTAAAATATTTGATGGACTTGTCTTTGAAGGTGCAGAAAATGATCTACTATTAGAGAATATAGAAGTTTCCTTTTTGCCACCATTGTGAGAGGATGCATTAATTCTCTCCTAACTTCCATGGTGTCAGGACACATAGAGGGGAAGAGAGGTGAGCGTACGTAAAGTGTGCTCCAGAAAACCCACGACAGAACTGGCCACATCACCACTGCCATCCAACAATCAACTGCAAAATCATTATTTAGTTGCATAGATATGCCAAAAAAAAAAATGAGGGGAAAAAAAAAAAAATGTTTTTCAAGAGTCTCTACCCACCTACACACAAAGGTAGTATTTCCTTTTATTTGCTAAAGCAGACCCACCTACAGTGCAATTTATGGCAGTAAGATACAATCTCTCATAAAGTATTGAGCATAATTAAAGTGTGTCTGTTATAAAGGTAAACGGAGTGTACTAGGCTGAGCTGATGTCTTTAGTTCAAGATCTGGGACAAGATCAAACCTGCAGCTGCACATTTTCTCAGGGGTTATTTTGAAGCTTTTTTTAAAAAAGAAATCACCTCTTGGTCTTGGACTCTAACAAAACTAGCATAGGTACAATAAATGCCATCTGTAGCTCATGTTGACAAATTTTAAGACACATAAAAATTACACATTTCTATTTTCCAAGATACTAACTCAAGTGAAGTATTAACTACTCAGTATCAAAGAGGGTTAGAACCTAGTCTGCCAAGTTATCTGTGTCACCAGAAGTTACAGCAACATGAACCTGTTCTACTGCCTAGGCAAGTTTCTTGCCGAAACACACCTATGAATGATTCAGACAAGGTGTGGAAAACCAGTTTTATATGTTACACAAAAACTCACCATTGTATTTTTCCATTCAAGTACATTTCATATAAAGAAGACACAGGGAAGGCAAACAAACTTGCAGGAACTGCATAGGCGTACGCTACTTGCATTAAAATCTTTTAGGTAACTTAGGACTCTTGACTGGCAAGGATCAAATAAATTTACAGAATTACACTCTCGGTGTAATATTAAACGAATCAAAGAGAAAAATACAGAAGTCGTGGGGGGGGGGAAAACAAACCAAACCAAACCAAACCAAAACCAAACCAAACCAATCACTTTATAATCCACTAAACTAATTAGGCTCATCTGGAAATGAGAGGGGTACAACAAACACAGCTGATGTTTTGTGAAAGCATAGTTTTAAAGTTTTCAACTCACTTTCAGAATAACAAATAAGGACAAGGTCTTTAATAGACATTAGATCAATGAACCTGTAGATTAAAATAAACAAACTGAATTTTGAATGTTTTACTAGCACTGCTAAATTAAGTAGTGCAGTTATCACCCTACTCTTTTTAAGGTTTGCATAAAAGAAATTTGGAACAAAAGTAGACCTATTGAAATAATGAGAAGCCAGATCTTCCAAGGACTAGTGCACCAGCTCAGATACTCTGGTATTGTATGTAACTTTTCCAGAATTACAGGGTTCCCATTTCAAATGATTAAGGTCTCTTTTGGGTTGGCTTTAAGATCAGCACAAACCCTGCCAGTGGTTTCAAAGTGAAAGGCAAAATAAAGTCCATTAATTTCAACAAATCAATTGAATCTCGTCCCCAGGCTTAACCCTGAGCAACCCCTGCTCCCAAGAGCAGGGCCTCACCTGCTGAAGAACCCGGTCCAGTGGTTCGGCTTTGTCCAGTCCCTCTGGTGTTAAGCCACTCACTTCACGACACTGGTCACTTAAATCCAAATTGTCTGCTTTCACCAGGGATTTGTGTAGAGTCCCTACCTAAAATCATTTAAGAAATTGTGGATAACAGTGAGGAACAATCGAATTGGCTGTTTTTAACAATACATTGAGGCTGCAGAAAAATCAGCAAGTTGCACTATCACCATCCCGATAACAATCTCAATGAGGAGAAGCGTTTGTTGATCGAAACCTTGCACCTGGGGTTTCCTCCCCTCCCACCAGGAGGGTCACACTCTCAGCTTCCCTGAATCGGAGCCGGTTTTCATGGAACAGCTTTTGCAGTTAGCACCGATTTTTTGCAAGAGTTGTTAACTGCAAAGGGAAAATCACGTAACATTAAGGCAGCTTCCTGAATCTGTTAATGTAATTGATAGCTGTGTTTGTCTTAGCAATGCCCTTCATCTGTAGGGGCATTGTTTATTATTGTTTAGGGTAGGGCTTCCAGAAAGAAAAATTAGAGCGTATTTTCAGGTTATTTTAAAAATTCAATGGGGTCAGCATTCTCTTAAAGCTTATCCAGATAGCGGCTGGGAAAAATCCCAGTCTCCCAAAGTAGGCCGCAGAGGGTCCAGTGGTTACCCTGAGCCAGCTCCGGGAAAAGCATGCTCACATGGAGCTCACGGAGGCAGCTTTATGTTTCAAACCTTCAAAAGCCCGTAGCCATCTTCAGATTTGAAGCTACAGACGTTTTACAGAGGACGGGACGGGGGGGGTAGAAGCGGCTAAACTTTCTTAAAAAGTTACTTTTTTCCCTCTGAAAGGGAAGAAAAAAAGGCGCTTCTCGAGGGAGTGACCCCGCGGTCGGGTCCCACTCCCCCAGTTCCCTCCCCTCAGTGCTTTCGGAGATTAAGAACCGGCTCCGGGGAGGCAGCGAGCGGCCGGGCGCCTGCCCGCCCCGCGCCCGGGGAACGCGCCCTCGGCCCGGGGGTCGAAGCCGTACCTTCTTGCTGTGTAGGTCCACAACTTGCCACACCAACAGAATTAGCTCCCTCTCATCCGAACCCAGTTTAGCCCCATATGCACCAGCGGTTGCCCCAAACAACACCACCAAAGAGTCACTGTGCGAAGCCGTCATGACCACAGGGGGAAACAACTACAATCAAAAGCAGAGGTCAAAAAAAAAAAAAAAAAAAAAAAGGAAGAAAAAAAAAAAAGACAGAAAAAGAAAACAAAACAAAAAAAGATACGCGAACAAACAAGAACAAAAAAAATCCCACGAGGCTCACCCCCTACCGCTAAATAATCAAAGGAGAAAGGAGCAAACAAGGAGTCACAATATCGAAAGAGCTGGTTAGGATGTTGGAAGTCAACAACAATGGAGAAAGCTCCCATTTCTACCTGCTCCCGGTGATCTCCTTCCCGGGGCTGATTAGGAGGTGAAATTAGCAAGCTGTGGGTTGCTTCCCTCCTGACATCATGGCAGAAATCCAGCCTGGGCTGGAGCAGTTTTCTTTTTTTTTTCCCCATTCCCTTCCCCTCGCCCAAGTTACCTGCCCGCGGTGCAGCTCACGTGACTCTAGTCAATCTCCCCGGGGGCCAAGGCCATTGGGCCTTTGGGAAAGGTGTAGGAGGGACAGACGGAGAATCAGCGCCCAGCTGAGCTGGCCTGATTGGGTTTTGAGGGAGATCAAAGGAAAACTCCCTTCCCCTCCCTTTCATTTTGCCTACAGGAAGTGCCTCTACCTGTGTTCAGTTCTGCGGGGACCCGCCCGGCGCGGCCGTGGACCATGCGCGCTCCGGTGCTCGCCCTTGAGGGGACAGGGGATGTCTGTGCACTCACACCGGGACCCTTCTTTTGGCGATGTGAAGAATATACTCGAGCAGTTGCTAAAACACCCTCTACAACTTCGCTTTCCACAGTGTTCACCTGCTGGTGACCGATCGTCCTTTGTGCCGGTGGTAACTCCGCAGTCACAGCGCCGGAGTACAGGGGGGATGTTTAAGGGCTACACAGGCAGAAAGTACTTTGTGCTTCAGACTCTGCACGGCACCTGGTTTGCAAAGGTGGATCTTAATAACACAATTTTCGTTTTGGAGAAAGGGTATATCTAGGATGCCTTGCAAAACAGAAATGCAAGCCCTGTATTTTCTACTAACTGCTCAGTAAGGAGCTGCCTCCTGGACATTAACTGCGGTCCGAGGTCCACAGTTTCTCTCTACCTCTTCTATTTCTACAATAGGAAAACACCATCTAGTTTAGCTACTACAAAAGTACTCCTCCAAGCATTTCTGCTAGATGGGAGCAGCACTAATATTTGGAACATCAAAGGGGCTGGGACCATTTTTGTAGATACTGTCAAACTCACATTTACTTTAAATCAAAAATTAAAATCAAAAAGCATCTAAGCTGTTTTGTCTATGTTACTATTTTTCCTGTTGCCACCACTGCTAAGTTACTAATGATTGTCAAATGCTGCAAGTTAGATTAGTCATGATTTTTCTTTTGCTTAATTACATCTTCAGTTTGTACTCCAGTATTAGTGTGGTATTGAAATACAGTTTTCACTGAATGAAAAATGGTGCTGCTATTTCACTGCTGATGTCTATCACAGAAGAATGCAGAGCTGGACATTTAACTGAATATCTTCTGGGTTTAAATACTAACAGAATTTTTTTTCTTTTTCTTTTAACATTCTAATTCTGTAACTGGTTAATTTTAGCAGTTATTGTGGACCTCATTCAGCAAACACCAATTCACATGCTAACACCATCACCAAGACTATTTCCATTTATTTCAATAAAAATAAACTGCAGTTCAAGGATGCTGTCTTAGAATTCATGTATTACACATATATATCTGCATAGGCCATGTAGAGAACTGTGCAGGGCACATATGTATCTTACTGAGCATTACAAGGTAATTGTGAATTGCCTCTCAGCTGCTGTCTCTGCTGCTCACACGTGCAACTGCCTGAAAAGCAGTCCTGAAGATAGATCATTGTTACAGAAAGGGCACATTCCTAGACACTCAGAGATGAAAACTTTAATCGGTAACATACACATAATTGCATGCTCAAAATGTTTTCAGCAGTATATTTTCTGGCATTGCTGAATTTACCCAGCAACTGTATTTTCCTCTGTCAATACAATTCTAGAAGTCCTTGGCAGAATAAAATTCCATTCATGTTCTTTTTGTTTGGCTATGTCCTTTGGATATGGTGGTAACAGCCTGTTCATTGTGTATGGGATAATTTTGAGCCCTTAAATCTGTAATAAGAACCATAAAAATATACTGACTTCGTGAGAACCGCTTCTCTTGTCCCAGTGTTTTCCCTCTCCTCCTGAATACACATATACCATGGGGATGTTTGGGGAGAGGCTGTATCTATACATGTATGTATTTTACCTCTAGCTATGTTCACAGAAAAGAAGTCAGCTACAATTTATCTGCCATTTCATAGCCCTAATATGTAACCACTTCATACAAAATGGGGTTATAATTAGCACTTTCTAGAGAAGATCACACACATGATATATTCCTGCCCAGCTTCACGTATAGGCTCACAGGCTTCAGTGAATTGGCAAAGAGAATGCCAATGCATGTGTAATTGGCTTTTAGAATCTAAAGTGAAAGAAAAAAGGAGTATAAATCACTTATAGCATGTCAAATTAGAGCAGACCTATTCATATCAATGCCAAAGGCCCTTGAAATCTTCCTTGAATCACAGAGGCTAGTGAGCCCAAATCCTCTTCTGCTTTTCACAATTATATTAGCTCAGCTAATAAAACCTAGTATCGCTCCCTAGAAAAGCAATCTGGTTTCTACTCTTAGACTATCTTGACTCATATAGTTCTACTGTTACTAGGTTGTCTAAACTGCTCTAGCTAAATGGACTTCAAACATATTGTAAAACTTTTTTTTTTGAAAAATTAAATAAATGCTGGCCTTCCTAAGATTTCAGGCATTTTCAGTATCAGATTATGCACTGGTTTCCCATTCACCTTCTATCCACAACCCTCTTTCTCTCTGCATACAACCCTTAATTATAGCAATCTCTGCAAAGTTATTGATCTAAAAAAGTTAAATGAATGACATTTCATGTTTCCACAGAACAGCAACAGAATCAATCTACTTCCTGAAACAACATGTGGACAAGCCTTTGTACACTGACCATTAACAAAGTTAATTTGTAACCAACATCTTGATGAAGAGTTACTGCTCTCCCTCAGCTTTAATCCAGGCAGGCATATTTGTAGGTTCTTGTTTGTAGGATCCATACAAGGATAATGTCTCATAAATGCAACTGAGTGGAGAATAAAAGTTTTAAAGATGGATGTTTATTGTTACGCAAGGTCTGTACTGTGATGATTTTGTTTGTTTCTCTTTAGTCAAATAAGCAAAAGTGGAAAATAGAATGGGTTTACAGTTAGATCACACAAGAACACTGAAGATGCTCATTAAATGCATTGTGCTTGCAATGGACAAATCTGTATTGACAATTTTACTCTCACTATACACACAGTTTAATGAAGAAAAGACCACTCGTCTTTTTACCTTTACTACATTGTTATTAAAAATCATGATCATTGAAGTCCTTTTGCTATAGCCTTATAAAAGGAGTATGAAACTTGGAGACATGTGATCTGGCGTAATTATGCTGACCACATTCAGATCTTCAGTAATACTTCAATTACCTTTCAGGGAAGGTAAAAGTCAGTCCTCTGTTCCAAACTTGTATGATACTGAAAAGTTATTTAGCTTCCTTATGAATATTCTACTCATCAGTTACAAGGAAGAAAATTATGATGATTTTTAGCCTTGTAAAATGGTTTGAGATGCCCTGAGAAAAGTGAACTAACTTTTCAGTTGAGTCTAACTTGAAAATTGGCGATGTTGGTGGGGCAGCGAGGTTAGATAAAATGACCTCCAGAAGTCTCTCCAGCTGAAATTATTCTGTGGTTCTGAGAAACAGCTGTTAAGTATGGATGGAGCCTTGGGTTCTATATGCACCATAAGGATACCAGTGAATTCTGTGTGTGCCTCAGCATCTCCAAACTGCACTGGTAGAGGAAGTAAAAGACACAGCTACAGTTTGGGTGGAGAAGAGATTCAGAGCAGCCCTGTGGGGAAGGACTTGGAAGTGTTGATTGATGAGAAGATGAACATGAGCCAGCTTCAGTGTGCGCTTGCAGCCCAGAAAGCCAGTTGCATCCTGGGCTGCATCAAAAGGAGCGTAACCAGCAGATTCAAAGAGGTAATCCTGCCCCTCTACTCTGCTCTTGTGAGACCCCACTTGGAGTATTGTGTGCAGTTCTGGTGTCCTCAACATAAAAAGGACATGGAACTGTTGGAACAAGTCCAGAGGAGGCCACGGGGATGATCGGGGACTGGAGCACCTCCTGTATTAAGACAGGCTGAGAAAGTTGGGGCTGTTCAGCCTGGAGAAGAAAAAGATGCATGGAGACCTCATAGCAGCCTTCCAGTGTCTGAAGGAAGCCTATAGGGATGCTGGGGAGGGACTCTTCATGAGGGACTGTAGCAATAGGACAAAGGGTAATGGGTTAAAACTTAGGGGAAATTCAGGTTAGCTATAAGGAAGAAGTTCATCACTGTGAGTGTGGTGAGGCACTGAACAGGTTTCCCAGAGAAGCGGTACTATCCCTGGCAGTGTTCAAGGCCAGGTTGGACGAAGCCTTGGGTGAGATGGTTTAATGTGAGGCATCCCTGCCCATGGCAGGGGTTGGAACTAAATGATCTTAAGGTCCTTTCCAACCTAAACCATTCTATGATTCTATGATTCTATGCAAGTGATCTGTAAGTAAATGTGAAGACATTTATATTTCATACCCATTCAGCCCTTGGCTAACAGGTGGGATTTAAGTAACTGTAGCAATGTTTTCTGAAGGAGGAGCTTTTGTAACTCCTGAAACATAAACTCATACGTAGAACATTTTCTGGCATCCTTTAACAGCAAATGAGTGGGAAAGGGCATGGGAACAACTGCTTAACAGTGTTCTTTGATTGCTGTCCAGATGTTTGGAGAGATCTGATTTTTTTCGTCTGCCAGGTAGGTCTGTCATGATTACAATGCAGTATAAAAGTCTTGAAATAATTTCCAGTGGGATATTCACAAAAGCTCTTCAATATGCAAAAGCACTTCAGAACAGTGGTTTCCTATGGATTGTTCCCATGCAGTCTCTAGCCCCATCAAGCCATACTGAAAGCATTCTCTTAGAATCCCCTATCAGATGGAATTCAATTTCTATTGACTGAAAGATAAACTAAAACATAAAATTGGTGACTAGGCAAGGTAAATAAAAATGAAATTACTTTCCCTATTATTTTACATTGGTTCTCTCCTTTATGAATGACAACCACTCCAGTGTGTTAATCCTACACAAACTCCCACTGAAGTATATCTGTATGCTGTTTAGGCAAATTTATCCAGATTATAGGTATCAAGCTTTTGATCTATGTCTTTACTTTTCTGTCAAATGTATGGCCAGATCAAACATGCATGCATAGTAGTGTCTTCCATCGATA